TCCTTTTTCACCAAGCTCATATTAATTGTATTTCATCTCTTTGTCAAGGGCCTCAGTCCCAAAGAGACAGAGAGATATAGACAGATAAGCAGTTATACATTACGCCACATTATGTAAGTATAAACAAGTATTTAGAGAGTCTGAAAGGTGGAGGAATTCATCTCACCTGGAGGACTCAAAGAACAGAGTCAGAGGGACTTGTCTCAGTTTGAAAATTTGAGGGTTTTTTCCCCACGTTAATCTCTCTTGTGCCAATTTAATTATTAGACCAGCCAAAAGAACTCAAGAAAGAGAGGGTGGGAAATTTCCCCCACCGTGTTAGGTATTATGTGAACATGTCATGTGTTGGACCAGGCAATACCCTGAAGATTCACATAGAAATTTATTAGGGCCCTTTGGTCAGTTATCTTTTGTGAAAAATTCTGCTTGATCTAGTTATCTGTCAAGCGTCATTCTTTTTTTTTTTTTTTTTCAAGTATGTTTCTTATAAACCAAATACAGGTTGTTTTCTTCTCATCAATCTACTGTTATATAACCTGGCTTGATCACTAAGTAGCTAGTCTAGGTGTTGATTCCATTATATTCACTAGATAATTTATGTTATATAAGATAGAAGGAGATGCTCGATCATAACCATCTCTTTGTTCTCCATTTCCTCTGTCATAAAATAAACACACTAACACTTTATTTACTGCTCTAATTAAGAGTAACCTAGATTACACAGGAGTTTTACAGGCAGCGAAAAACAATCCTTAAAATAATCACACAAAGGATTGTAACGTCCCACATGGGATTCTCCACTCGTTAATGATTTGGTTATTCCTTTTTCACCAAGCTCATATTAATTGTATTTCATCCCTTTGTCAAGGGCCTCAGTCCCAAAGAGACAGAGAGATATAGACAGATAAGCAGTTATACATCACGCCATATTATGTAAGTATAAACAAGTATTTAGAGAGTCTGAAAGGTGGAGGAATTCATCTCACCTGGAGGACTCAAAGAACAGAGTCAGAGGGACTTGTCTCAGTTTGATTATTTGTTCATTGTTGTCAGTACGTAGTCTTAGAGAGTGCCAGTGGGGGAGAATAAAGATGCAGGGGAGAAGAGGGAGGAAGAGATGAGCCACATCAGGTCTCCCCCACCACCCCGCCACCTCTGGCTCAGGAGTCAGCAAGGATTAGGCAAAGGGAAGGTTTTGAAGTTGAGAGGAAAGTTAAGAGAATTCTTTCTTAACTGTGAATGTTCTTAGCTGTAGTATCAGGGGGGCAAATGTGGAGTCTGGGGTAGCCTCTGGAAGGAGTGGAATTGGCTAGACCTGGAGAAAGGAGCGGTCGGCAGCAATGAGCACCCGTGGAAAAGAGGAGAGCTGGCTAGAGCCCGTCCTCTGGGAGAGGTGATTTTCTTTCTTTCTGTGGCGTCCGAACTAAGAACAGAGAGTGTGGGTGGTGGACTGGATTGTGACTTGGCAAAGCTGGAAGGCGTGGAGGGAGCGCCTGAGGGCTCTTGATGAGCAGTTGGCTGTTGGCAGGCCGTGAGCGGGGAGCAGATAGCTGAGTGCTCCAATGCGTGTCCACGTGGGGTGCGGGCAGATCCCGCCTTCCCTGCGGCTCCCTCCCGTACCTGGAGCCCCATCTGGTGAGACGCCTGGACCCCTGCCTGTCTCCCCAGACGGCCTGTGCTTCTGATTCTCCCTGATGACGGCAACAGATGCTCCTTTTCTTCCAGCCCACAAATAAGACTTTGTAGCATGAGGGAGACAGAGCTCTTATTCTGTTGTACTCTGTGGTCTTTTATCCTTTTTCTGAGTTAGCTTTTCATTTATATATTTTCACTTTCACATGTCACTAAGTTTAAATGCTTAAACATTTCCCCCTTCAGTAGCCAAAAAGAAAACAAAGCAACAGCTAATGTAGTAATAAATTTATTTCTAGCTACAGGAGATAAGCTCCAATGCAATATGACCATAAAGTATGGCTCCTACGCTTAAGGGAGAAGCAATAAACTTTCATAAATAAAGGAATTTTAAAATACTCCTGGCAGTATAAATAAAGGTCAAATGCAACGTGTAGCCGGCAGCACACAGCCAACGACAGATCTGCTTACAAAAGGAAACTGTAAACTAAAATAAGAAAATGTTTGCAGCTTTTCTGTGGTTGTTACCTTGCACCCGAGGTGGGCTGACTAAAGAATTCACTGTGTGAAGATTTTGACTCACCTTCTGAATTGTGACCTCTGTCACATCTCCTGACACTTTTCGATTTTGCCGAAGACCTGTGATCATCACCCAGCAAACCCAGGGGTCCTGACGCCACAGATAAGTTCTCAACACATCGTACGGTGTTAGAGAAGACCCTGGCGCAGGGAAGGCCGGGCGCGCAGGACCGTGGCCCTCAGGCTGGGCATGAGGGAGCTTGCACAGCTCGGGTTCGCTTGCCTTGCAGCCTCACTTTGCAGCTGATCTGTAAGGAAATTGGAAGTTCTCCTTAGGTGTCTCTCAGGTTTCATTTGCCTTTTCAGATCAGGAGTGACACGGGCAAAAGCTTAAAAAACCACACACAGTGGCGGATGGATGGATGGCTAAGTCAGTAGATCGGCAGACAGACAAATAGATTCACAAATACTCACACCTGCATTCTAGTGGGCAGTGCCTTGGTTTGAAAGATGGTTAAAGTAATAGGGATTATTCTCTAGAAAATTAAAGAGCATGGAAGAGAAGTCTGACCTCTCTCTCTGTCGGTCTGTCTCTCTCTCAAATCAGAAGTGGTAACAGAGGGGAAACGGACTGCTGCCTGTAGGGTGAAATCAGAATTTATCAGTGCTCTGATTCCATAAACAGGACTCTTCCCGAGCACCTGTAGTTGTAGGAGCTGTGTTTGTGGCTGGGACCGAGATTAGACCTGGTCTGTTCCCTCAAGGATCTGAAGGTCCTGGTAGCATAGAAGGACTTAAACTTGGTAGCATGGAGTGCATCTGGGAGGGTTTGAGAAGGTAAGCTTGGTTTAAGAGGTAGTGGGGTATCCTCAGGAGGAAAGAGCGGTGCAGAGAGGGGATGAAGGAGTCGAGATTGTGAAGAGAAAAGCCAACGAAAGGTAGTTGGGCTTAGGGTTTGGACTTCATCATGTAAGTAGTAGCAAGCCAGTGAAAAATTTGAGAGCAGAAATAGGCATGATTCGTGAGCCATGATTTCGAGCTTGTTTTGTGAAGAGAAGTCTCTGTTGGCGGTAGAAGCAAGATGAGAGACAGATGATGAGGGCTCAGGGGAGATGACGGAGGCAATGGTCTGGGGATTCCATTTATAATTTGCTATGCCTGGTACTGTTGGTTTTGTTTTTGCTGGATAATGTAGAGAAAGGCAAGCTAGCACAGAAATTTAACTCTCAGTTGGGATTCACCATTTAGTAGCCATGTGTTTGGGGGCAAGGAACTTTAAAGTCTCATGCTTATCATCTGCAGAATGGGGCAATAGTTATACCTCCTGCATAGGGCTGTGACAAGTGTTAACTGAAGTGTTGTATCTATGTGTGTGCCCTTGGAATCATGACTGGTGTGTGGTACATGCTAAATATTGTTTTATTTTCATTTTTTTATCAGTGCATTAATTTGCTTGGTTGTTCACTTCTTTGGGAGTTTGCTTTTAAGACAATCCAGAGTAATCAACTATGGATAGTCATTGGTAAATTTTGCTTGCAGAATTTTACTGACTTTTTCTTTTTTTTGCCTCATTTTCTTAAATTCTCTTGGGCCAAAAATTTCCAGCAGGAAATAGGAGGGTGAAGTCTGTAAATTAAAACAGCCCTTTCCCCTCTGATGTGAAGTGTGAGCAGAGAATTTTGCAAAGAATGCTGCTATTCGGTGGTCCTTCATGTCGCCGTGTGTAACAGGGAACAGGGAAGTATTAAACAAAGTCCCAGTGCTGGGGGGATTGGGCAGCCTTACTTTACAGGACAGCACGGTTCTCTCATTTTCATAAACAGATTCTGAAATTCCAGAACAGAGTGTGAACCACATTTGAAATACCAATGCAAAACCCCCTTCAAAAATCCCCAATATAAAATTTTAATAACCTCTGCCCTCGCTTCCGTCTTTGTGAAGATAACTCAAATAACTCTACCACAGTCTTAAATTGGAACAATAATTATATCTCCCATGAATATAAGAAAAATTATTCTGTAAGTATTGTTTTTACTGTAGGTATATTTTATTCTATAAATATGGGTTTGTTAAATTTATCATATAAATAACTACAGACTTAGTTACTGTAGCATTCAGAACAAAACTCTAATAGGAGAGCAATTGTTTCTTACACTTCCTTGTGCAGAGCCTGGGCTTGGGACTTCCCTGGTGATCCAGTGGTTAAGACTCCACGCTTCCAATGCAGGGGACATGGGTTTGAACCCTAACCAGGGAATTAAGATCCACATGCAACAGGGTGATAAACAAATAAATAAATAATTTTAAAATAATAATAATAATCGTACTTAGGGCTCTATTGAAATAAACTGTCCCTATTAGGTTATAGGAAGAGTACAGGATTTGGAAAGAAATACCAAGTGTCTTAAAACTTTTCCCTTTGAAGAGCTGGACAGCAGTAATTCTTAACGGAGGGAGATGGATACAAACCCTCTGTACAGTTGAGGTGGACAAAGCCTTCCTTGACACTCAAGTTTTTATTTTGCCTGAAAGTNATTTTCATAAGATTTTGACTGTGTGGTTGGAATAATGAACAAAGATGGCACAGGAATGGATGACGTGTAATCTGATCCCAACCCTGGGAGGAACAGGGTATGACTTTAAAGAAGTCACTTACTTTTTCTGATAATGTTTGTCCAATATTCTCTGATGGGGCTTTTGTGAGAATCTAATGAATGGAGGTATGTAAAAGCAATTTGAAACATAAAAACCACTAAAAATAACTAAGTGTAGTTGCTGAACAACTTTAAGACATCTTGACAGAGCAAATGGGAATAAGTGTTGAGGGCGTTTCTTGTTTAATTTTACAGGGAACACGGGAAACTCTCAGCCGTCACTGCACTACCCTGGGTGATGCCCTTCGGAAGGAGAATGACTTTGCTCTTATAATTGATGGGAAAACCCTCAAATATGCCTTAACTTTTGGAGTGAGGCAGTATTTCCTGGACTTAGCTTTATCATGCAAAGCTGTAATTTGCTGCAGGTAAGTTCTCTGGGATTTGTCAGATTTCAGTAAAGAGCAACTAGATCCTGAGCTCTTGATTTTTATGTTCCTTGGAGATATATTATCTTGAACTTGTCAATGTTAGTTATTTGTTAATTCATTCATTCAAGACTCAGGGTTCACAAACTGGGATAGCTTTGGGAACATTGTGACCAAGCCAATGGACAGGTCTACTCGCAGGATGGTCTGGCAGGAGTCCCTCATCGAGCAGAAATGGTGAGGCTCATTCATTGACTTGGAGCTGGGAGAGAATGGATTTAGCTGAGGTGCTGTTTTGAAAGTGAGTCCTGATTGGAAGCCCATCATTAATGATAATTGTTCATAATTTGAATTAGCAGGTTTCTTGCCATTCTATGTTTAATACTATATATCTGCATTTCTGTCTGGGGTTGTCTCTCTAAAGGTTCTATTTTCTACACTTATATCTTTGATTCTGTGAGTTGGACTTATTTGTGGGGAAATCATGGTGGGAGGCACTGACTGAATCATTTTCCAAATAGCCAAGCATTTTTCTGAAGGCTATTTATTGACCGTACAGTCTTCTGCCCTCTAATTTGTAATATTGCGCATATCCTAAGTTGAAGTCTGTTTTGAGTTATCAAGGCCTGCTCCGTAGAATTGTACTTCTGTGAGCTGTTTAGCGCCCATGCTTCCTGGACTTCTCGTCAAAGAGTCTTTCCCGTGTCTTCGTAAAACGTAAAGTAAATTTATGCCTGCGCCCGGCCTCTTCGCGTCTGGCTACCGTGAAATGCGAGGATTTTCCTCTTTGTGACCCACTTGCTGAATCTAACCAGCTGGTCAGACTAGGTCTGGGGTAGCAGTTTCTCAAATTGCCTTCTCTTAATGGAAGGTGAAATGTTAGCAAGAATTTCTCAGAATCTGTGCTTTTAACATTATCTTGAAAACTGTACGATTGGCCTTTATTTTTCTTTTCAAATATATTTATTAATAAAAGAATCTTCTGCTTTTGAACTTTTCTTTTTGGTCCAGGCTTTAACTTGTTTATTTATTTAAATATCCTATATATGATATTGTCACCAAACTTACAAGCCACGCCTTATAGATATTTCCTAAATTTCAGTGGGTTTTTTTGTGTGTGAAACATAGTTTAACTCATACTTAATAAGTTTTCCTGATACATATCATTTCAGCCTATAAAATTAAACTCAGAGCAGTAAGAGTTGCTTATTACTCCTATTGCCGTGTTTGGTTGCTCAGTCATGTCCAACTCTGCGACCCCATGGCGCTCCAGGCTTCTCTGTCCATGGAATTCTCCAGTCGAGAATACTGGAGCAAGTTGCCATTTCCTCCTCCAGGGGATCTTCCCAGCCAAGGGATCAAACCCGAGTCTCCCTAGTCTCCTGCACTGACAGGCGGATTCTTTACCACTGAGACACCTGGGAAGCCCTTATTATTCCTAGGAATCTAATTATATCAGTCATTTAATTTTTTTGTCTATGGCATATATTAATAAATACTATTTATTACTCTAAAGCTTTTAGGCAATACTGTATTAGATATTTAATATTAGTAATAATCAGATTCAGCTTAACCGTGAAGAAGAAATATAGAAATTATTTTATCTTGCCTGTCTCATTTTAAAAGCATGAGGATACTCATGATTTCTTAAATCTGCTTTTCCAGTGACTTTTCTTGGTTCCTTGCCGATCTCTTGACCAAGTCTCAGTAATGTTCAACTCTGACACTCTCCCATCAGGATAATTTTGTTCCAGACTTGGTTGTTTAATCACTTTCATAAACAGGATCACAAGGATCAACAAAAGATTGCTCAAAAACACATTAAGTGATGTGGCTTTTGGCTCCTGTTCAGAAACAGAACCCAGCGCTGTTTAGATAAGAGGACCAGCTCCCTTGAGCCGGCATTCATTCTGTGCCTACTGTGTGCCGGGCAGGGATGCTACACATACAAGGGTGAATCAGGCGTCTTGCCTGCTCTCCTTCATGCTGGGGTCTGCCTTTTGTTTTAAACAGACTCACAATCGGCTTGAAAGATGTGGGAGGCCAGTTTCATCGCAGCTGAGCCTCATTCCTAGAGTATTGCTTAACTCGGCACCTCCCACCATTCTTCAAAAAGTCGAACCACAAAATTAAACAATAGCAGAGGGAGAGAAAAACTAGAAAGTAGAATCAAGGGAGAAAAAAAAAATATGTTCTGTGCTTGTGAAATTCCCTCCTGAACTCCTTGTTCTGAAAGCTCACAAGTCGCAGGGACTTGTCCCAGGGTCCCAGGCCCCTCGGAGGGATTCACTCTGCACTGAACCCTGAGCTGATAAAGATATGTGTGGCCCCTTCCTCCCTCCATCCTTTTATGCATGTTGGAGGACTGAGGGTCCCTATGCAGACACTAAGAGTTTCACTTAGAGTTTTAGGGGACTTTTAAAAGTAAAATAGCTTTCCTCTGCTGTTTTCTTCTCGTTACCATCATATTCTGTCTTTTCCCATAAGGACTGCGGTTCAGCTTCCCGTCTGGCTTTGGGAATTCGTCTAAGCCCATAATTATCAATACATCGGTGCCACTGCCTGATTTATGTCTGTGCACCTTCCTGGCCCGGTGCCTCTTGGCATTTAAACTATGGGCACAGACCATCTTCTTATTTAGCCTACTGACCTTGAAGCATCATTTCCATGACGATTCCTCGCTGTGAGTAGTAGGTGGGCAGTTCTGTAGATCCTTCTTTACAATTGAATGCATGCATTCTGGCTCCTGGTTTCTCAGATGATTGTAATCTCCTTGCCTCAGGAAATTCTCTATTTCACTCCATTATAAGAAACCCTCCACATAAATACCGAATATTATTTCAAAATACAGTGGGCCACTGTTTCCCAAATTCGTTTATGTTCATGATGGTTTTCTGGGTTTTCCCCTTAAACTACTTTACAATTTATTTCTTGTCAGTCCACAAGTGAAGATAATTCAGAATCTGCTCTTCCTCTGCCATCTTCTCTTTGCTAGAGTGGAAGAGGGGGAAAGCCTCCCTTAATGGATAATGAGGCTCTGGCCATTAGTTCCATCTTCAGGATTACATCAGCCACTTTCTTCCCTGACATTATCAGCATGAAGGGCAGGAGGCAGTTTTTAGTGTTTGCCTAATTGACACAGTTATAAAGATGAGTGTTTTCCCTGAAGAGTCTACAGCTGAATTGAAAGAAACAGTTGCTCTCTGTCAGCTGTCATTACATCTCTTACTCACCATCATTTTCTAAAGGGAATACTCAGAGACAGGACTAATCCCCTGGCCCCCAAATTATTCAGGGCTTTGGAGTCCGGGTTTTGGTTTACAGAGTGAAGTTGCATGTCCTACATCATATACTTTTTTCAATTATGGAAAACCCAAGAAGTACAATAAAATCTGTTTTTATCAGTCTACCAAGTACTGTATTTTCGTAGATGCCACATGCAGTTTTTGCTTTTACTTCTGTGCAAATTTACCCGCATAACCTGAGTAGTTCAATAGGAAATGTGCATCTTATGCTAAGGTAAGTTATCCTGGTTATAAACTACTCCTCTTGTGGTCCTTCTCTTCTGTTCCCTTCTTGAAGTACACTGATTTTTTTTTTTTTTTCCGTTCAGTGTGATCACAGATACTTTTGAAGAACAAATGAAAGGTCTGTACCAATTTTGCACAAACATGTAAAATTGAATTTGACATGTTAGAGATTTCACAGGCTCCCTTGAACTCCTTGGACAGGTAGAGGGGAAAAGCCTGCTCCAAGACTCATGGAGATGTGTATACACAGCTAAAAGCAAGAGCTAGTCTGCAAACTAACTGTACCAGGTAATCATTTCTCATCTTAGTGACCAGTATTTTATGCCCTCAGGTCTTGCAGCTTGTATAGTTGGGGATTCATGAAATACTTGTTCCCACTTTACCTCTCTGGCACTGTGGATACCTGACGGAACCTCTCTCTGGTTTTGTAACTTGTGAAATGGACAGCTTGCCATATAGCAGTGAAGCCTTCCAGTCTCGATGTCTGCAGCAGTTACGGTTGGAGCTTCCCTAGCATAGAAAGGTGTGAAACCCCTGCACACCGCACCCTTCCTGGATCAGCTCCCTCCAATGTGAAAGCCACAGAGCCAGGTGGCTTCTTGCCCTGTCAGACTTTGGATGAACCCTGCCTCTGTTGGCCACTTCTATGCTAGGAAGAGTCTGTCTCCTGCCTGGATCTGCTTAATTCGGGGAAGCATCTGGTCAACCTCTTTTAATATCCCCTCCAGAAAAGAGTGGGAACGTTGCAGTGAAGTTATTGCTCTGTGTTAAATGGCATGTGGTTTCTGAGATCCTCGTCAGTTCACATAAGGCAGTCTTTCAAAGAATCTTGCATTTTTTCTGTAGTTGTCAGTTTAGTTTAAACATATTTTGAAACTTATGTTCTGTGACAGTTGGTTGAAAATTGGCCTAGAGCCTCCAAGCTTTTAGACTGTCTAGTAATCACCGTTCTCCTACATAATTTATGTACTCATGTCCTCTGAGAAGCAGAAGTTAAATTGAAGTAAGCATTTTTCCCTACTTGCAACATCTCTAATCAAAGTTTAACCCCCTTTTAGGCCATTTTCCCCATAGTGCATAAAAAAAACACTGGACTTCAGTGAGTGTCGTCCCTCGGGAGTGGCGTTCCAGGCAAAACCTTTCACCTTGGTCTGATCGAGGGGCCTCCAAGAAGAGGTCCAAAGGGCCACCTTGAATACTTTTTGTCATGGCTTGAGTATGTTAAGTAAAGGGTCAAGACAGATCTGCTTCTCCAATCTTTGGGGATTGTCTTAAACTTTAAGGATTTCTCTAAATAAATGTTCTACTTAAAGGGTAGCCACAAAGCACAAATGAAGCTACTAAATGCTCAACAGACGTTCCTTTAAAGAAAGAAGTTTGTGAACACGTCGAATGCCAAGCAGATGTCTGGCTTTGAGAAGACTTACACATTCTTAATGAATGTCAACCCTATATTTGCTTCCAAGGAAG